AAAAGGGCAGAAAGGGTTCAGAATTAGAGCAGGACTTTGATGGGAAGTTGTCATTTGAAAACAGTTTGCATTGCCTGTCATCTTTTGTTTGGAAGAAAACAGGCTGTGACATAATACCTGTCACTGCCAGCGGGTGTTTCTGTGCACCCTGGAGTGAAATATCCCAAGCAGTGGCAGCTTTTTACTCTAGGTTATCTATATGGTTGGAGAGAGTTCTTACTGTTCCAGTCTCTTTGTGTATATATATATATATATATGGCCCACCTGTCAAAGGCACAGGTCAAAACTGAATAATAGAGCTATGTATGTGAGTACTCGAAAATATTTTGAGGATAAATCTGTTCCCTTCAGGGAAGGAAGAATACTAGTGTTAATAAATCCATTCTATTCCTAGTGGAAGCAATTATGACACATGTTTAAAATGCAAGTATTGCACTCTTGTTGTTAAGGAAACACATTTAAACATTTTTTTAAAGCACCATTAGATTGGGTACGGCAAGAATATGGGCTTGGAAAGTAACACATGTAAAGGCACATAACTAAAACCGTTTAAGTTTAATTTACCCACATCATTTCTGTATCAGGTGCCATTACTGTGATATATTGGGGCTTTGTAATTTGCTAAAAAACATTGAGCCATGTGAGGCACTTAATTCTGAGAAATCTTGAGATGGTGGAGGAAGATGGTATTAGCAATTGTTCTCCATAAATTATTCCCCTTTTTTGCTATATGATTTAGAAATGTGTCCATTTTGTTTACATTTTGATCACAATATGTCATATTGATAAATGCTTAACCACGTCACATTTGAAATATGAAGGTTTGAACTGAAGGTTAATGTTATTTTAAGCTGCCAAACTTGACGTACCTCTGATACAGCTTTGTGGAAGAGGCACCTATCGCTTGATAGCTGTGTGAAACTGTTGCCTACAGAGATGGGCTCTTGACACTGTCTGCCAGCCTCAGGCTGTCCGCTTTGTGTCTGCTTTAATTGAAAATTAATAGTTAGGGGGTTGCTATGGAAATGATACCATTGCTTGCAGACAGCAAACCCCGCTTTTTGCAAAGAGACACTAGTGGTATTGTTTGTCCTTGTTGACCTCAGAAGTTCAAAAGCCTGGAGGAGGAAAGGAGATGCAAATATTTTACTTAAAAAAATTAATTTGCATATTTATAACATTGTTTTTGAATGTCAGAGATAGCGAGTACAGGAACTTTTGTGAGTATATGCTTTTAAAGCTTTTAAACCTTATGTTAAGTGTGAACTGCCTCAGTGATTTACACGTTGATAAGCTAAATTATTAGAAAGTGTGTTTTGTTGCTCATGGTTCTAGTAGCTACAAACCTAGTGAGTGGCAATGTTACTCCTTGATAGTTAATAATAAAATCACTTTATTTCTTCTGGATTACATTGCAGTGTAAGTGTTTTGTAGCATATACTATGTACAGCGTTTTTCTACACGAAAGAAAAATGAGAGCCATTAGAATAAAAATATGGAGAGAGGGATAAAATACCTACAGAAAGCAAATCCTTGCAAAATTGTGTGGCGTTTTAAAGTAGAATGTGGCCTAAAAGGTTTACTTATAATGATCATGTGATTAAGCGTTTCATTTGCTCTGCTCATTCTCCCAATGGAGCATGTGATTACATATATACAACATATATGTGCAGGTATCATGCTCATGCTATGAATTGGTTAACACACGTGTTTTTAGAAAGGTGTACCTCTCCAGACCAAGGCTTTTCTTTGAAGAAGTAATATAAACATGCCTTATAGTTTTAATTCAAAGCGAGGGGAGAAGCTAACATAGAATATTAAACTGTTCTCTATCACAGTGCTAAAGAATAAGTGCTTTCTGTTCATTTCAGAGGAGGTGGAGAATAGTGTAGCCTCGGGGGTTGAAGGTGAAATGTGAAATTTGCTGTAATTACTTACCCAAAATGTCTGTATTAAAGGCTATTAGAAGCAGTTATTTTAAGTACTTCTTCCCCTCCTCTGTTTAGTATTTAAATGTGTTACAAAAAAGTAGAGGCAGATGTTATTAATCTAAAAGGAACTGCTAAAAGATACTGTAAGTCGGTGGCAGCAGTGGTTTTTGGCTAAAGATCCTCTGAAACATATTGTTCAGCCACACCAGGGTGTGTGTGTTGTGTGTTTGCTTGCCTTGCCTAAGTTGTAGACAGTGTGCTGTTAAATCCTGTTCACTAATGCCACTATTCAGCTGTGAGTGTCTGTAGAATGAAAGGCCATAAAACTTAAAGTTAGTGCAATGCATTCTTAGGGTGTAACCGCTAGAAAAATGACTGGCTTTTGAAATGTGAAGGTGTGTGTGTGTGTGTTGGAGGGGGATCTTGCAAACAAATCTTTGATTCACTCGTTCTTGCAAGCTGGCTATCATTGCTCTTTGAATTGCTTTAGTTTTTTTGCCCTAACACTTTGAGGTTAGCATTTCCCCCTCCTTTTATTCTGATGGTGTCTACATAAACACTGCTAGGCTACCTACAGTATAAAATCTTAAAACTCCATGTGGTGTTGTGAGCTGGTAGCAGATGGACTTTCTTTTGCATCTGCTGT